GCAGGGGTGATGGGCAGTGACTCAGTAGGTAGTGCTCTACATCATTATGAAATGTGTATTAAAAAAAAGTGCCAGAAACTCCAGCTTGGATCTGGACCCCATTGTACTAGGCACTGCACAATACAGTGCAACCTCGTTATAACCAACTGTAACAGGGAGCCATCTCATGGCCGGTCTACTCATTGGCCCACCCACCTGTCTAGGGAAGTCCACCCACCTACCTCGCCTGCCACACCTTTTATGTAACCAATTAGTAGTTGTTCATAAGGTGGGAGGCTGCCCATTTTACTCTCTGATGCCAAGGACATAATACACGGATCCAAACCTCCCCTTATACCATGTCCCATGCCAGATAGTATCACTACGTAGCTCTGGCCCCAAGATAGACCTCATTCCATGCCTGCCTGATGTCTAGACCCCACCTGGATCCCCCCCTAATCAGGCAGTCTAATTTCTGCCCTTACACCAAGCTGCAAGCTCCTTGAACCCTCCCTCTCAGCAGTGGCCCCCTCTGGGACCTTTGGCCACACAGGCCCTGGCCTTACCTCCAGGCCGGTTGGAACCCCAGGCCCTCGGCTCTGGGCATCCCTCGCAGTTGGCACTCTAGCCCTTTGACCAACTGGGCCTAGCCCCAGCATTGACCAGTCGAGGGTTTCCCTGATCAGGTTAAAGAGCTGCTCACACTCTCTCCCTCATACGGGTCCACCTTCCCAGGCCCCTCCAAACTCAGCTCATTCAAAGCCGGCCTATGCACTTTGGGCCCCCTCATATGGGCCCTGCTCTATGCAGCCCATGCATAGTCCTTCAGGCCCATCCATGCAAGCCCTACTCTAGGCAGCCTTCTCACTGCTTTCACTCACACCCTCACTGGGCCCAGTACACTGCCTCCTCACTAGGGCTCTTGGCCTTATACCCCTTGGGTCTCAGGCCTGATTTCATAGACATTAAGGCTGGAAGGGACCTCAGAAGATCATCAAGTCCAGCCCCCTGCCCCGGAGGCAGGAAGTCAGCTAGGGCAGGAAGTCAGCTGATGATATACCTGGACCCTTGCCTGTCCCCTCTATGGGATAACCCACCAGGTCGTGGGCGCTGAGGCTATACGGCACCCCATACCTGCTGTTCACTAGGGAGGCACTGGTGTGGCATTTCCCGGGGAGCACCCACCACAGGCAGCCCCACTGCACCATCCTACCCCAGCAGGGTGTAGTTTTAGGTCATTCCCCTAGACCAGGAACTTTCTCCATCCCCATAGTTCCTACCCTTGAGCTCCAGCTGGGCAACGTTATCCCTCTGGCTCCCTGCAGCAACTGCCTACTCAGTTCTGAGAGCCTGGTTTATAGTGAGGCTGCTCAGCCCCATCCTCCAATCCAGGAGCCCTCTTCCAGTCATATGCCTGCCTCGTTAAGCCACACCACACCTGCGGGCTGCTCCACAGCCTGTTAAAGCCTCTTAAAGTGGCGGGCAGCAAAGGTCCCCTACCACACCAACCTTGTTTACAAGGTTTCAATGGTTTCAGTGCAAATGAGCCACAGCAAATTGACCAACCCTGTTATAACAAACACCTCCCATTAATTAACTCTTCTACTCCCATGGGAGTATGTTATAAGGAAGCTGCTTAAGCATATGGTCTCCACTCTGCAAAGCATACAACACATGAAGTCCATTAACACACCTACAGCCTGGGCAAAACACCACAAATTAACCCTTACAATGGTCATGTACAACATAAGTAGAACTAGAAAGCATGTTTGATCACTATATGTTACTACATGTCACATAGGCCCCCTCTTTCCTGCAGCCTGGGCAGCTCATGTGGCTGCTTTCTTGTAGATGAGGCGGCAGCCAAAAAACCCACATAACTTAAAATGCAAACACACTGAATCCAGTGTCGCACCAATATGCAGCAGATTTTACTCTCCCCTGTCTATTATATCAGACATAAACCACTTGCCTTTACTTTCAAAGGCCCTGCCCCAGCCCATCATGCCTCATTCAGTATGGAAACATCATCTCTCACCTATGATAGGCCCATGTCACCAGACTGCATTGCCCAGCTCTTAAACTCTCAGACCAGGGCATTTGTGCCTTCTCCTGCTGTCCCTTATGGCTGGGAGGAGTTCACCAAAAACACTGGAAAACCACCTCAGCAGATACCATCAGACTCCTCCCTCGGGCTCTCCTTTGCCACCCGGCTGACAAAATCCATAATGGCCTGCCTCTGTGCCATACTGGCCATCTTGCCAGACTGGTTCTTAAGAGACCAAGGCCTCCTTGGTCTCTCTTTGTCTCCTCTGGTGTCTTCTCCTGTTCGCTCACAGCTTCTACTGCGAATGGGCTCCTATACACATGCAGGGAGGCTGCTCTAATACACTAATTACAGTGCATCAGAGCAGACTCAATTAATCGAGTCTGCAGGAGTGTGGTAATTAGCGCTCTCCAGTAGACTCGTGTCACATGTATCAGCGTCCCCATACTGAAAAATGGTGGGGGGCACTTTAAGCTAAAACTCATTCGATGAGCTTTAGTTCAAAGTGCCCTGCCACCATTTTTCAGCATGGGAACACTAATACACGTAATGCTCTGGGCACTTTTAATTAATGTGGCTGATGGAGCTGCACTAATTAAAGCATGTCCCCTCCCAACTTGCTGGAGCACATCTATAAACGCCCATTGTTTCTTCAAGGCTAGAGCCATTTTTTTCCGTCTGTTTCTGTGCAACACCTAGCACAACGGGGTTCATGACTAGGGCTTCTGGGTCTGCTGTAGTAGCAATGGCAACACCAATAATATAGAGAAAAGGAAATTGCTTACTGAAGTCAATACAAAATCATGTGTCTGAACTGTAATGCCGCTGGGCTGTGGTCTGTGTTTTACAGCAAATCACAGTCAGGTCCCAATAGCTGTTGTGGCATGATACAATACAGCCAGATTAAAGAGATTTGGTTTCTTGGGCTAACATGGAACCAGAGGCACCAAACTCCTCTACTGCACATGCACAGTCTACGAGGTCAGATGCTGCCTGTCAAGCAGACTCTGGTAATCAGACAAGCTCACTGGAGTGTGATGTCATTCTTCCTTAGGCTGGGTACACTGCTTCCCCACATTTCTAGCACCAGCTGATTTGGAAAGTGAGAAACTCACCACTGGCCCAAAGCATTAAGTGCTGCAAATAGATAATGCTCCCTATTCTTCGTTGCCTCTATCACCTGTGTTTTTACTCACATCTATCATTTTCCATTTTTCTTTTTTTCTCCAGGATTTCATTTCTTTCTCCATATGGAAATCATTATTTTTGTTTGTTCCTGAAAGCCTAGTAGGTGCTGTGAAAATATAGCTGTTAAGCCAGAGGTGGGCAAAATACAGCCCGTGGGCCACATTTGGCCCACCAAGTTATTCTGTCAAGCCTCCAGCAAATCCCTTGGCTCCACCCAGCCCAGGTGTGGGGGGCAACCCCAGCTGTGTTGCGTGCAGCCAGTCGCACCACCCCCAGGCACAGTTCTTGGGTATGCCAGGAGATGTATTCTGTGGGGCAGGGCAACACAGTGGCAGGGTCAGGGTGGCACAGTGGCTGGACTTGGCTTCCCAGCAGCCCCTGAGGCAGCAGCTCGCTCTGCCCTCACATTTCTGGCTGCCACTGCCAGTGTCTCCCTGGCTGCCGGACATGGCCTCACTGCCAAGGCACCCTGGCCTGTACACCCCGCGCCCACTGCCAGGGGTGCTGCATGGAGGGGGCAGGCGGGCAGGGAGACTGGCCCAGGACCCCCGTGGGCAGGATGAACTCAGCTGGGTGGATGGGATGGGGCTGCAGGCAGGTGGGGAGCACCATCCAGGAGCGGGATGGGCAGGTGGGGTTGGGGGCAGGATTGCAGGGCAATGACAGCATGAGGCTGGGGCCTGGAGCAGAACTGCAATTTGCTGCCCACCAGTCCCTGTGATGGGTGCCAGTTCCATGGCCCCATCCCATATGCCTGGCCAAGTGCATCCTGCCCACAGGGGTCCCAGGCAAGTCTCCATGGAGACCCTGCCCATTCACTATGTCTAGCACTCTCAGTGATGGGTACAGGGCAGATGGGCCAGAGCCAGATAGACTCAATTGGCATCTCCCTGTCCCCGCTACACACACACACTTCCCTGCACTACACTGGTTGGTGTAAACAGCTGCGCCAGGGGGCCAAGGCCAGGTCAGAACCAGCACCCCCAACCCTCAACAGCTCACCAAAACTCCTTAAGTGGTTCTCCATCCCAAATAATTGCCCACTCGTGTGTTAACCCCAGAGTCTGGACCCAACACCAACTTGTGCAAATCTATTTTGCCTTCCAACATTCCCCTTTCCAGTGCCAATCTGGGGCTGTCCAGAAGAAAGGAAGAAAGAGATGCAAACTGTATTTTGCCCATAAATTTGAAAACTCAATATTCAGTTGATTTCGACCAGCTTCTCCAGCCAGTTGGACATTTTTATAAACCTTCTGGAGAACTTTCCCACTTTGTTTTTTGAAAAAAATGTCAAAGTTTGGATATTAAAAATGTTTTGACTTGCTTTAATCCATAGAGTGTCGATTTCTTCTTCACTTCTGGCACTGAACAGCTGCTGCGTGCTGCCTCACAAATGCAGCCTGCCACACCGCAACTTGGGACGCAATCCCTCTCCCTCCTTCTCACAGCAGTGGTTTGAAACAGAATTAAGAAATATTTGTAATGTAGCCTGATATCTGAGGATGAAAATTGCCAGAGGGGATAATAATAAAAGATCCAAATGAAAGCATTTTAAAAGGTGTATTTCCTTTCCCCTAAAATGCTGCCTTGTCCTTTAAGAGTCCGCTTTTCCCCCCTTTCTTGCACATGGATAGCATTCCTCGCTTTAAAAAATGCAGGAGAATGGAGAGAACAAGGTCCTTCCCTCTCTTCCTCAGATCCATCCCTCGATTGGTTCAGAGAAGAAAGGCCTGTGTTTGATTAAACCCAGGCTGAGTTGAGTAAACAGTTTGAAAACCCTCTTGGACTTTCTGACTTGTCAGGCAGACAATTTGCAATCAGGACAGTGTGGTTCCTGCACCTATCCTCACCAGCAAATCAGCCAGAAGACTGTGTTGGTAGGAAACTCCAAGAGATTATTTTAGCCACCCACCCACTGTGCCTTTGGGTCCCCTGGATAGAGAAAGAACTGAGGAGAATGGCAGAATTGAAGGTAAGTGATTTGGATGCCCCAGACCCTTCTAGTCCTGGGGAGAGTGCATGGGTGTAAGATTTTCTTTCTCGTTCATCTTCTACTCCAGCACCCGGGTGGCAGTTCCATGATCCTTTAAAGCCCCAGAGAATGGGTGGACAGGAGGATGCAGGGGACACTTTTTAGGATCTTGTTTGAAGAGAGGTGCCTGGTCCATGGGGTGGAATGGGGGCAGTCAGCTAGCAGGGCTGGTGGGAGAGGTGGTCTGGGGCTGATATCCAGACGTAGTCGAGGAAGGGTGATTCTCTGGCCATATATACCACATCTCATCCATTCAAATTAAAGTCCTATTTATTTTTTACATTAATGTCACGGTAGGGTTTAAAGTCTGCCTCCCTCAGGATGGAGGATTTTGCTGTGTTTCATCGGAGCTGTTTTGAAAGCCCCCATGATCAGACTGTCCCCGTTCGAGAATCTCACATCTGGATGCTTGTGCTCCCCTTCCTCCCCCAACAGCCACCTCCTGTGCTGGGGCTGCTGGTGGGTGTTTCCCAAACAGCCAATGAGATTTGCCTTCCCACATCTGCCCAGCTGTTGCAGTCTCTACATTAACCCCAAAGCAACCAGGAGAAAGATCAGTTTCCATGCTGCTGGAGTTTCTTCAACCATCGAAAGGTAGTAGGAAGCACCGTGAGTCAGGACTCCTGAGTTCTAAACCTAGCTGTGCTACTACGTCATTGGTGATCGCTCACATACCGTCTACCCTCTCAAGGCTCGGAGTCCCTGTTGGCAAGATGGGGAGAGTGATATGCACCCATCTCCCAGCCAAACCATGATGCTTCAGTAGCGAATGAAAAGTACAATGATAGCATGCAGTGCAAGGGCAAGATACCTTTCCATATGAATAGAAATATGCAAACTACAATCCTGCACCAGAGCCATGGTTCATCAAGTCTGTGACAGTACCTGGTTGCAGCTACTTCTGAGGAAGGTGCAGGAAACCTTGCAGTTTGGCAGAGGTTATGCTGTGACCTGATTGGTTTGTTTTACAGCTCTTACCAGAGGTGTAACAAACAAGTTCTGTGCCCTGGGTAGCAGCAGCCAGCAGGGGCAGTGATAGCAGCTGGGCTGGTGGTAGCAGCTGGGGCGGGCAGTGCCAGTAGCTGCCATTCTTTGGCTCCAAGTTGGTGCCTGGGGCTGATGCCCCAAGTGCTAACCCCTAGTTATACTGTTGACTCTTACTCTGATAACTCTTGGTATTCCTGGCATCTATCTAAATGCCCAGTCCTTTAGGATGCATGGTTATTACACGGCACTGAGTTCCAACACTCCACTGTGAACCTTTTCTTGGCTATGCATTTTCTGCCTCTGTCTCATCAACAGTCCCCTTGTACTTGTGTTCCTCATCAGGGTGAGCAGACACGTTCCCTTCCTTCTGCGCTATATCATTCACTATTTTTACATCTCTACCACATCCTTCTGACTCCCCATAAGTCAGTCCTGATCTCTCTGCTCTCCTTCCAAGGCCTCTCCTCATTCTTGATGACCTTCTCCAAGCCCCCACTAATCCTGCCATGTCCTTTAGGTCAAGCAAAGTCTGCAGGTCTTGCAAGGCTTCCACAGCAGGATACAGCGGCCTGGACATGGTAGGAGCCTGTTGCTGTCAGAGAGATCAATGTCCTTTCAGAAAGAGTGGGATCTCTCCAAAACTTGGAAGTTCTGATTTGAAAACCTTCTGCTCCTGTGGACCACGTGAATGGTTTGGGGCCAGTCCTCAAGACAGATCCCATGTGCAGGGTTGTTCTGTGGGCTGAAGCCAATGCAAGGTTGGTGTGCATGGTCCATGTGTAGATCTAATCTGGTGCATAGGCTTGGTCACACACACTGGATCTGGCTGAGTGCCCCTCACACACTGGTTTCACGGCACACCAACACAATCTAGCACATAAGGGCCATGTCATCCAACCCATGGGGCTCCCCACAGGTCTGAAAATTTGGCAGCAGGGTAGCTGCAATTAATGTTGCCACCACTCCCTCACCATATTTTTGGACCCCTGGGGAGACTGCATGATAGAGGTTAAGCATCATTACTCTGAAAGATCCAAGTCTGCCTTTTAAAGTTGTGTGTAGGCAAACACCAAACACAAAAGTTAACCCCCACTTAATAATATGTACCATCTACTCTTCCACCCAGAGGTGTCTGCGTCACTAACAGCACAGCCACTGTCCACAGTAGACAACGCAACACAACCTGAGGGCAGGGAGCAGTGTGGGTATGCTGAAAGTGCACTGCCTGTGGTACATGCAGACTGTGCTCCTAGTCAGGTGTGCGTTTCTATGTGGAGGAACAGCAGTGTTCTTCATCACCTTGTCTATTCATTGCATTGGTCAGTGTGTGCTAGATGCCTTATGTGCAGCCCAGTCTTAACTGATGAACACAGTGGTGTTTTTGTGTATGGAAGAATACATTATTCTTCAGTATCATGCATCAGTAGTTGATAGAAGAATGTATTATGCACAGTGTTTGAAGAGGGGCATTAATTATATTCCAGGCTGTTTATTCAGACTTCAAAAGCATTTTTTCCATGCCTGCTGTCTAATCCGTCTGACAAAAGGTTATGGTTTATAGGTCAGTGCGTGGCTCCCAATGAGAGCACTTCACTTTGTGTCCCAGCCATTCAAATCAATGAGCATTCTTTAATTTTTTATGTTGTGCTCAGCTTTCATCTCTTCTGTTTTATTGAAAAATGTCAAAACAAAGACAAAGTATAATCAGATGAATTCTTAAGATCACATTTACATAATATGCTGCAGGATCATGAGAGAAATAATAATAAAAATCCCCCAAACAAAAGCTAGAACCATTGCAAACTCTTCTTTTTAGAGAAATCTCCTTCTTAGGTCCCTGGAGCAGCCTCTCACTAAGCCTCTCATCTACCTGGGAGCATTTTAACCATTTTGATGATAAACTGAGGACATGTAGCTGTTAGTAACTACCCAGTCTTTTATAGTTAAAGGACTTAGTGAAAGAGAGGATTTCAGATTGGTGTGTTCCTAACAGGCCTAAAATGTCTTTCATTTAAAATTTCTTTAATTGGAAATGTGGGTCCTACTCCCATAGCTCCATCTGGACAGGCTACTACTGGATAGGCCTTTACAAAATCCCTCCACTGAGCCAATCGAGTGCCACTAACCTAGGTTGGACTGAAGGATCAGAACACGGTGCGCCGAGCAGAATAACAGGCAGAAGAGTCAACACAGCTATCAGCCCTTCAGCCCTGTGTACAATGCATCCCTGCCTCATTTTTTTAAACGGTGATAGGAATTGGTGCTGGAACTGCTTCTGGAGAAGGAAGCCTTCTGTTTACCTAGACAGCTGACTTGGCCATGGGCAGCACTTGCTTCCACCAGTCTCTCCCCATTATACCCCAGCATGGGATGGGAGGATGGGATGGAGTGCACTTGTAGCAAGTTTGCAGATGACACCAAGCTGGGGGGTGTATTGGTGTAATAGATACACTGGAGGGTAGGGCTAGGATTCAGAGAGATCTTGACAAATTGGAGGATTGGACCAAAAGAAATCTCATGAGGTTTAACAAGGACAAGTGCAAAGTCCTGCATTTAGGATGGAATAATCCCATGCATTGGTACAAACTGGGGGCTGACTGGCTGGGCAGCAGCTCTGCAGAAAAGGACTGGGGGTTACAGTGGACAATAAGATGAATATCAGCCAGCAATGTACCCTTGTTGCCAAGAAGGTGAACAGCATCCTGGGCTGTATGAGCAGGAGCATTGCCAGCAGATTGAGGGAAGTGACTCTTCCCCTCTATGCGGCACTGGTGAGGCCACATTTGGAGTACTGTGTCCAGTATTGCCCCCCTCCCCCCCGCCACTACAGAAAGGATGTGGAGAAATTGGAGAGAGTCCAATGGTGGACAATGAAAATGGTTCAGCGGCTGGGGGACATGACTTAGGAGGAGAGGCTGAGGGAACTGGGTTTATTTAGTCTGGCAAAGAGAAAACAGGGAGAATTTAATAGCAGCCTTCAACTACCTGAAGGGGGGTTTGAAAGACGATGGAGCTGGACTGTTCCCAGTGGTGGCAGATGACAGAACAAGGAGCAATGATCTCAAGTTGCAGCAAGGGAAGTTGAGGTTAGATATCAGGAAAAGCTCTCTCACTAGGAGGGTAGTAAGGCACTGGAACTGGTTACCCAGAGAGGTGGTGGAGTCTCCATCCCTGGAGATTTTTAAGACCAGGTAGACAAAGCCTTGGCTGGGATGATCTAGTTGGGGTGGCCTGGCTTTGAGCAGGGGGTTGGACTAGATGACCTCCTGAGGTCCCTTCCAACCCTCATTTTCTATGATTCTAACCCCAGTCCAGCAAGAAGACTTCAGTCTCAATGGCCTGTTCAGTGTCCGGCTGCTCTGTAAAGTCGATTAACAAGGCAGCCAGTTGGTGCCAAAATTTTTCTGATATGGCCGCTTGCCTGCCAGGACCCGGATTTAGACCTGCTGCACTGCAGTCACACAGTGACGGTTCCACGCATTCCTGGTAGCGTGGATGGCATTCCCCTCAGTGCAAACATGTAACGAGCAGGGTTTGCACCCTGGGAAAACTATGCAGGGGAGCAGGAGAGTTGTGGGGAAGGGGCTGTAGCAAGGAGATGCCATTGAGCTCTGGAGGGGTTGAGGCTCAGAAAGTGTGTCGGAGGTGGGGCAGAGAAATCTTACCTATTCCAGGAACTCATAGCCAGTCCCTGTTTTTTTTCTTCTGTTTGCTACTACCACTGTTGTGGCTGCTGCTGCAACATGGTCTGCTCCCTAGGGTGACCACTTTTTAAAATGTACAGCCAGGACACATGCCTGCCTTCCCCCTCCTTCCCCACCCCTGCAGCACAACCGAAGCAGAGCCAAGTGGGGAGGGGGCAGATGCGGACTCTATGCCCTGCTGCCTTTCCCCCAGGAGCCCCATGCCAACTGCATGCCCCCTGCCTACTTGGCAGCAGTGGGGGGCACAAC